GCGCCCGGCGGGAAGGGGTTAATGGGCAGCGCGCACTCTGGATTTGGTTAGTGCTTTAAAGGGACTTCAGAAATGTTGGGCTGTATGATCTCCTCGTCTAACTTTTATGTGGGCGAGTGTGTCATATGTGTGAAAAGTCATGCCGGCTCTCGGCTATCTCTCTCATCGGTGCTTGGGGAGCCCGAGAGCTGCGCGGGGAATCAGCGCTCCGAAGGCAGGCGGTCGTCTCTTAACCTATTGGTACGGATTTTTTTTTGCCTGAAAAATTTGCCATTTAAAAGCAAAACAACAACCAGACATTCCCTCCCCCCAAAAAACCTCAAACAAACCCCAAACCAAAAAAAAAACCCAAACACAAAACCCCAGCGAAAAGCTGGTGGAGGTCTGTCGTGCGTGCTAGGATGGTTTAGATCCCCTTGCGGGTGATTCCCAGCTGAATCCAGCTGTGGGCAAGCACCTGGCTATTGCTGAAAAGAAGCTGATCAGAATTCAGGAGTATTAGTTAATAAGTGCCTGATCCTGTTGACCCTGTTCTGGTTCACCCACTCAGCTATGCGGGGGTGTTGAAGAAGGTGTCCTGCCAGTTAAACCAATTATAGCTGGCAAGTAGCAGTCATCAGCATTAGTGGAGGAGTTGGAAGTGAGGCCCAGTCGCACCGTGTGCCTGCCCTAGTGTCTTTTCTGAACTTAAACAGCAGCTTTCCAAGTCCAGCAGCAAGCCAGCTTTAACCCTTCGTGTCGTGAAAAGCCGTATTGCCTTTTCGGCTCCGCTTGTCTTGCGATGCCTCTGTAAGGGTTTTGGCTCTCAGGCTGGAAACTTGTACTGCGGATGGGGAGAAAGCTGAGGTACAATGAGCAAAGGCTATAGAAATTCCAAACAAGATGAGAGATTTGGTTGGAGGAAGAAAACTGGAGTGTTACAAAACATGCTAAAGATCTTCATGTGTTACTAGACCGGAGCTCGATGTCTAGTTTTTCGTAAGCTGTGTAGCGCGCAGGCAAGGCCACAGAAAAAACGAGCAGCCTAGCATGGAGAAACAGTGACTTGGGTTGAGGAGCAATGCCACGTAACGAAGACTTTGTATAAACCTTTTGTTTTAGGACCCTAAACATTTCTAAAGAAACAAAAAAAAACCCAGGAAGGAGAGAATCCCACTCCTTTTAGTCAATGGGGAAGTTCCTAATAGGATTCGTGTAGAGGCCAGGATTGTACCTGAAAGTGTCAGAAATCTTATTTGTAGCCCTAACTGGGGAGCAGATCTAAACTTACTGAAACTATGTATAATGTTTGCACAAATACTTTCCTATTGGTAAGGCTTACAGCTGGTTAACCCTAGACACCAGAGCAGATTTCAAAGGCAAAACAGGGTGTTAGAAATTGCCATTTACTTTTTTAAAAGCCCAACCGAATGCAAGGATAAACAGTTGTTTAAACTGTGGCAAATTTAACGAAAAGATTAGGATGCTTGTTGAGTGAGACTCATGCTGTGTAAAATTCTTTGCTGCTCAATGAGATGTGTAATTTAGATCAAATGTTTGTACATGCTATTTGAGGTAAAAACCATCGTTCAGTAGATTGCACTTTTGGGTAACATTAATGAAGTGTAAGTCGAATATTCCTTTTGTAGTCAGTTGATTTATTTCATTTCAGTGATAAGTCCCATACATCTGATAAGAGTGAAGTCAAAATGGGCCTTTCAGGTTAAAGACTCTGGATTTTTAAGTGACCCGCTATATAAGAGGATGAAAACGTTACTTGTCTTAGACTGTTGGATGTTTTTATTTTCCTCTTTGCTTATATGGACGGCTTTTGAATGTGTTGTCGGTTTAACAGGCTGGGCTTATTTTGTGAAATTCCTAATTTGCCATCTTTTTCTGAGTTTAAGATTGTGGTTTGATTTCTCTTTGTGTTAACATGCCTAAAAAGAGAACTTGCTTGTAATAAGTGACCACAGTTTTGTGGAAATATTGATAACGTCCTGTGTGACTATTTAAATACAAATGCCCATTTTCAGACAGTTTCTGTGGAGCAAGATAGTTTAGCCCAATGCTGTGAAAAAGGAGAAGGAAAATTGTTGAGAGACAGCTTGCCGCAGTGTAGTCTGGTAAGGTATCGTTCACCAACACCTGAATTACAGCATCAAAATAAACCTGAACAATGGCCATAAAACTGGCGTTATTACTTATGTTTGATCTCTCCCATAGGTCAGTAAAAAGATATGAATCTTATCGCTCTTTTTCTTAAGTGATATATAGGAGAACAAGTTATACAGGCCTCACACAACCCTGTTCCTGGTAATACAGGCAACATAATATAGCTTTGCCTTCAATAGCAGGAACACATTGATGGTTGGTCCCATTATCAACTCTTTAAAAAGGGTATTATACTGCATAAACCCTTTTCAATTAAAACTTAGACCCTCTAGAGCTTTTTAGATATGCTAATCCTATGTTTACAAAATGTGCAAGATAACATGCTTTGGAAATGCTTTATCTAGTAAAGGATGCAGATTGCCAATACCGAGTATTGGCTTCAATGATTATTCATAAAAGGATGAAAGGGGTGAATGTTAGTACGTGAAGGTGTATCACGGTGAGCGCTCTGTCACTTCTCTTCCTTCTTTTGAAAGCCAAAGTCCAAAGTGAATCGTGGCATGTGAGCAGGAATGTAATAAGCAAAAATAACACAAAAATGAATGTTTAAGATAATGGGTGAAAGTTGGAAAATATCTCAAAGGGATAGGTACTTGGTGGACAAAGGACTTCTGCAGGCTTTTCAGACTAGCAGAGTGAGGTACTAAAAGCCCTCTCGTCGGGTGTCAGAAGCTAGCCATCCTCTTGTTTGCTCATTTCATAAGACTTTAACAACAGTGATGCCTGGGAAAGGTCTTCCACTTAAAGCTGCTTAAGCAAGATGGGAATTGTGCCCTGTGTGGTCGGGATGTAAGCAATGAGAAGGAAAAGCTTTCCCTGTATCTCATTGCGAGAGCTGTTCTGTAGTCTGTGCTGAAGCAGTGAGATATGTCTGTTAACGTGCTTGCTTCCTCGGTAGCAACATTTTTCATGTGACCCCTCTCATTTTTCAGATGAGTGATTTTGGGATCAGGAACATGGATCAAGTAGCTCCTGTGTCTAACATGTACAGAGGAATGCTCAAGGTGAGTACTCTTGAGTACTTCTAAATGCAGCTGGGGTGCTTGTAACCTCTAATCTTCTTCTAGAGTATTCCCGCTAAGTTCAGTAGAGGTGTGAAAAGCAGAACTGAAATAGGAAGATGTAACTCTTGCACCCTAACCTTCTCCCCCAAGGAGCCTCCCTCCCTCCATCCCCCAAATCCTAAGAATTTGAAAATAGAAGGTAGACAAGAACTGAGCTCAAATTCGTTGGAGTTGGTGGAACTTTTGCCTAAATAAAGGTTAGAGGATTGACAGTAGGGCTGGTCTTTATATCTTTAACTTGATGAGACTGGCAGAGGGCTGTTCTGATATGACTGGTTAGATCTGATTAATTCAAGAGCATTGTATGAAAAAAAAGTAGGTTATTCACTTACTACATGCAACTATGTTACATGGAAGTCCAATACACTGTAAGAAACCAAATATAGTTATTAAATACATTTTATCTTTATATAGACTGTGTCTGTTATCTTGTTTTGAAAGGAACTTAAAACCAAGGACAAATGAGAAGCAGACTATAAAGACTCAGTCTTTAAGGGCTTCCCACTTCCCCATTTGTGCAAATTGCTTTTTAATCCCAGTATCATTTTTTTACGCAGCACTGATTAATGTAAACCAAATAAAGGTTAGGAAGATGCTTTCTGCTCTCACTAACTTTGAGGAATGTCCATGTTTTGAAGAATCAGTTAGTGAGACTCTGGTATGCTAACTTCTCTGATGTTTTATGTCCCCTATTAGCTTTCTCTCCTCCCTACAACAACAACAAAATCCACAAGAGATCCCCCAACTTAACAGCTGTGTGCTCTGTAACACAGTGGTTGTTCTAACCAGTTATTCAGTATTCAGTTGTCATATAATTAAGTCAAAATAGAGACCTGTATTCTACTATTTTGTAGCTGTTCATATTTTTTTTAATTTTGTTTTTTAATAATTACTCTTGCATATGTTGAAAAGCCAAATAAAATGGTTGCATAACTGATAGGGCAAGCAGAATTTATGCTACATTGGGTTTTTCCCCTTTTACTACTATTAAATCAAGAACCTGCTTAAACATTAATTTTCTCCTTTTTGAAATATGAAACTAGCACAGTATGGATTTTACTCGTTCACATGCCACAGCATTTTTTCCAGTGACTCAGGATAGGGGTCAGCTATTTACACAAAACACAGGAGTTTCCAGATTGTGTTGAAAGAACTTGCCCTTTCTTTTAGGTACTAGCGGTGAGTCAGTGCTTTTATCTAGTAATGTATAAAGAATCTTTTACTAGCAGATTTGGCAATTGTTATTAACCTGTTTCATTCAGATGTAAGCCTTTTCATGGGTTGGCTTTGACTCTAGTGGTGGGGGGGGTACCTGAACCAACCATACACAATTTGTCTCTGCTGGCCAGTGCTCAGTGGAGATTTCTGAATCCAGTTAACCGAGGCATGATATTGTTTACTTTACCAGCTTTTTCTTCTGTGGGGTGTATGCTTTCATAATGTACTAGGATGCATTGCAGCTTGTTATAAAAAGACAACTAAAAATTTATGGTTCCTTGTTTCTACTAGGGTTAATGTAATTTGGGGAGATTGGGGAAGGGGATGGCACACAAGGCACCTGGAGCAAAAAGACTCTAAGCCACTTGAAACTTTGTGGTGACATAAAAAGGAAAGTTAGGGAATGTGAGGAAATATTAATACTCATTCGCTATTCGAGAAACATAGTTCAGGTTGCTTTTGCATCACACATGAATACCACCCTGAAAAATCTTTGCCTTGTCCTCGGCTAAATCCTCTACCTTGGCATAAGCTGGCAGACCAGTGAATGCTTAAAACAAATAAGCACTTGCAAGTTGCCTTTGTCTCCAGCTCCCTGAATTGCAGTAGCTGCCATGAGCAAGCTGTAGCTTTCCAGAACAATGTTCTATCCTCAGGTGCTTTTAAAAATCTCAGTGGCAACTTTTATCCATCCATGCCTCTAGATATTACAGATACGATTTCCTTGTGACTAACGGGCAAGTTGCATAACTTGTTTTTAAAGTTATTTCTTCCTCTGTTAGCCCCCCGAAGACTAATGTGGCTGGGGGAATCTAGTAAAAGTACTAGTATTTCTAGCATACACAATTGATACAAGCTAAGTTTGAAAGAAGTTAGGTTTTCAAAATATAACAATATTAATAGAATGTTGACAATGTATCAGTAGAATCCACCTTTATCTAGAATATTTTTGTCATTCCTGTTTATCCCTTGCTGTATAATGAAACTGGCAGTGTTTCAGTGAGCATCTGAGTACTTGAAAGACTGCAAAATGTGGTAACTGGCAAATCCAGGAACTCAGAAGTGTAAAAGTCACAGCAAAGGAGTAACATCTTTCCTCAAGTCCTCTAAAGCTGGCTGTATAGCTTCAAGTTATGTGGTTCAGATTAAACTTTTCCTTTTCAAAAAAAAAAAAAAGCTGCATGAATTGACTGTAGGTCTTGCACTGGCAGTTGCTTTTCCATAATTTACTGATCCTTCCTCTGCCATCAAGTACTCAAGTGGATAGTTGATTTAAAGGGTTAAGGAAATAAGGAATTCTTTAAAATATACCTGGAAATAAATATATATTTATTTATACACACACACACGTGCATTCTCTATTGTTAAGAGCCTCAATTACAGGAAAACTAAGAATATCCTTACTTGGCTTTACTGTAACCTGCAGAACATGCCACCCACCTAGCACTGTGGTCTGAATGTTAGCTGTTTCGTATTCCTGTACAAGAAGCTATGCTATCATTGTGTTTATATTTCAAAGGCACAAGTTAGCTAATTCAAGACAGTGGTTGTGCATGATCTCCAAATCTAGGAAATCTAACCCAGCCACTTCCTAGCAATGAAGTTGACAGTGCTCTAGCAAAATGCTCACATTGGTTTTTATTTATTCTGTTGCTTTGCAGCGTCAACCAGCATTTGATACCTTTGATAGCTCGAACTCTCTCTTTGCTGGATATTTTTTGTCACTAAATGAAGATCAAACGCTTCAAGAAGTGCCAACGGGATTTGATTCTACTTCTTATGGTAACTCTTCACTTTGTTCCTTGGTCCAGTCAGCAGATCAGAAGTTTGTGGGGTCTGTCTAACATTTCATGGTTTTACTCTTAGAAGTGGAACATGGATTTCCCTAAAAAGAAGTGGTGTAGTAGACAGACTTCTATGTACATGCTTGATTTTGTCCATATGAGTTGCTTTGTGGATAGTTGCTGTTCTCTGTACTGAAAAGGAATGGGAACTGGGATTCAGTAGCCTAATAGACTGACTGTCCATGGAAGAAGCCTTAATAGGTATTAAAGCAGAGCAAAGAGAGTTTAAAAAATTTTTTAAAAAAATTATGTGTATTTAAACTTGCAACATCTCAACCATAATTAAAATGCAAATATTCTGCAAGCTCCTTTCTTGACCCTCTGGTGTTAAATCCCAGTACGTTTACTCCATACCTTAAAAAACAGGGTTGGGGATGTTTACAGTTTGGGGTTGTTTTTTTCTTTCCTCTTTTCTTTTTTTTTTTCTTTTTTATATGTAGGACAGTACCTACCAAGAGTACTCTACAAACCCTTGCCTAAGATCCCTGAGAAAACAGGGAGTTTGTCCAAAATGTAGATATTTTACCAGATGCTGCCTTTATCTCCCCTTAGGGGGGGGAAAAAACCCAACAAAACCTCAAACCTCTGAAAACCACCAGTCCTTTGTTCTAATGTGATTCTAATCAGTCACCCTCTCTGGTCAGCAAAGCAAGTCCTAGCAGATACTGAGGATGGGTGTGGTAAAAACAGAAGTTAAGCACAGGCTGGTAATGAGCTCCACTTGCTGGGTCAAGTGGAGCCTGTAGATAGTCTAGGAGAACGAGAAGAGCCACACAGCTTCAAGAACTGCCAAGTTCATCGCTTTTATATACCCTGGCACCGTTATATGCCTCTTTTCAAATGCGACCTGTGTGTGAGTTCTCAGAAGCTCTCAAATGTTCAGGGATGCATAGCAAGCTGGTTAAGTTGTCTTCAAATTGCCTCTAGCTTAATGACACCAATCACAAAAAAAATATCAGTAAAAGGTTTCCTAATTTGAAACATCTAGGAATTGTGGTTGGCTTTCTTCAACTTAGAAGTTCTTTCAGAGTAAAATAAGGCATCTTCTGGTGAAAATTGCCCAATAAGAAGGGCTGAGTGGAAGCCAAATTTGTCCTTGAAATGGAATCTACTTGCAAATTTAAAAATCAGTTAAGCAGATTAGTAATTTATACTGGCATAGGACGGTGCTGACTTTGGATTTTGTTGCATTATTTAGGCACTGGGTACCAGCTTACCAGGCACAATTTTTTTGTCCTGATGGTAGTATAATCTATTGCACCATGTACTTGGGTGATTGAGATGCATGGAAAGGTCTGAAATACAGTCCATTGGAAAGCAGTGTTAAACAGTGTGAGTTAGCTCTTCACAACCCTACTATCAGTTACTTTAGGTCTCAGACTAAATGAAGACTGTCTAGAGTTATAAGGAAGTTTGAGGTCAAGCTATAGGTGACTAAATAGGAATAAGCAGTCTCATATTTCCTTTACTATTACTTTTTTTTTTTTAAGTTTCCCCACAGCAAAGGCACTTTATGTAACTACTAAGAGTAAATGAGGATCTATATCATGGAAAGCTGCAAAGCTTTAACTTACTGTGATGCAATTTTATCAAACCAGTAGCATAGAGATTTTAGTGTTGATATATTAAGTCTTTGACTTATTATATCAGAAAATGGTTCTACAGTGTTTGTTTCTGGTTTTAAAATACCTAGTTTGTAGCATCCTTTTCTTATTCTTCAAATAAAGCAGCAAAAACCTGTCACTCCTTTCACTGGCCTAAAAGTTAATGTAACTTCTCTTTCCCCTCCACCCCTTTTCTTTCTTGTAGAGTCGAACAACTGTGAATTGCCTCTGTTAACCCCGTGCAGTAAGGCTGTGATGAGTCAGGCCTTGAAAGATACTTTCAGTGGTTTCACAAAGGAACAGTGTCGGCTGGGTATCCCAAATAGTAAGTGTTTTCTATTTATAAGCTTTTTTTTTTTTTTTTTTTTTAATGCTAAGGAGGAGGCTGAATAGCGGCTCTTACAAAAGAGAAAGAATGATGTCAGTAGGAAATACAAGAATGGATCCTATGTGAATCTGGCACAGCTTGGCTTGGAAAGACCAGACTTGCTGGTATTAAAAATGGGTGCATGGAGAGCTCATGGTTTGGCAGCGTAAGAGAGAATCAAGTAAGCTGAGGACATCTCTGATTACAAGTGAATGCAGAAGGAAAATAGAGGACTGGGGTTTTTTTGTTTGGTTTTTTTTTTTTTAATTCAAGAATACATTCATTCTGAATTCAATCAGAACAAAGTAACTTGGGTAAACAAATTTTTTCATCTGTTGCCTTCTAATGAAGGTTATTTGACAAAGGTCAGGATTTATCTCTAAATGGTGGATACTTTTTGTCTTGCAGATCCCTGGCTGTGGACTGAACAGCAAGTTTGCCAGTGGCTTTCATGGGCTACTAATGAGTTTAGCCTGGCAAATGTGAACTTCCATCAGTTTCTTATGAGTGGCCAAGACTTGTGCAACCTGGGCAAAGAGCGTTTCCTGGAACTGGCACCTGACTATGTGGGTGATATTCTGTGGGAACACCTGGAACAGATGATAAAAGGTAGTTACAAAGCCAGAAAGAGCTGTCCCACCAGAAACGGGACTCTTTCAACCCTTGTTTCACTATGAAGGGCTTTTATTACATATGAAAACTCAAAATGAACTTTAAAACTTCATTAATAAAAGCATTATCAGAACCATTAATACATACTTGGTGTGCAAAGCACAGATGCCGTATCTGCAGAAATCATTCCATGTTCAGACTGAGTATCTGTTGCAGTCAGGCTTTATTTGGAATAATCATTGAAATAAATGAGATTAGGATAAAGCTACTGTAATACCCCATCTAAAAAAAAAAAATTAACCAAGAGTTGGACAAAATTTGTTCACTTATTATTACAAGTTTTTTTCCTTTAATGTAGTGTTTTGAGGTAATTCAATGAATGAATGTAAAGAAGTCTAAGTCACCTAGAGGTGTCTTAGGTGAGCACTGATGGTATTGCTAAAACCCGACATGCAGTGCCCTGTGAGTTCCATTGGGTTTGGAGTGTAGCATTCAGTAAATCCACTAAAGACATTACATTAAAGACTTGGACCTTAAACCGCACTGCAATTATTGTTGTTTCTAAGTTTTATGTTAAAATTCAGTTGGTATGATGGTTTTCAAGCCTATTGGAAGTTGGTTAGGTTTTTTGGTGTGGGTTTATTCAAGAGAGAGAATGCAATGCAGTGCGTTAGTAAAACTTATGTGAATGATGACCCCAAAATACTGAAGAGAGTCAGAAGCTTTTCATGGCATACAGGTCAGATCTTTAAAAGTATAAAACTAAATTTCCCCCTTTTTTTTTTTTTTTTTTTTTTTTTCCCCCCTCCTCTCCCCAGACAGCCAAGAGAAAACACAAGATCAATATGTGGAGAACTCTCATCTCACCTCAGTTCCTCACTGGGTCAATAATAATTCCTTAAGTAAGTATTTTAAGAAACTTGACATTTTATATCTCTCAGTTTATTCTAAGTGTGTCACAGATCCCAGTTTAAAAACAAAACCACCAGAATAACTACTGTGCTTGAGGAGAACACTTGACTTCAATTGCTACAGTCTTCTTTCCAAGTATTGTTTAATTGTCATCTAATTAATATTGGAAATCTTTTGAAGAGCAAAGGCTTTGAGAAAGTCATATTTCCTCTTGGTATGCCAAAGCTTACATCTGTGGAGCAGAGTGACCAATCCCACCTCTAGCAAACAGAGTCAAAAACTAGCATCACTGGGGAGCAGCAAGAGTTATGTTTAGGCCTTTTTGAAGACTGTGGAAGTGTAATAGAGCTTTTGAAAGTGTGTGGGATGCAGTGCTACCTCCCTCTGTTTGATTGACTGGTGGTGTATTTCATTCTCCCACAGTCAATCTCCAGCTCAACCGTATTACACCACTTAATGATGAGGGCCTTACTCAAAACCACTTAAGCTTCTCCAGCTTTTTCTGTAGCCCTGTAGTTTCCTTGAAGAACAAACAATAGACATATTTGTGGTCGGCATGTTATAGAGGGAGATTTACAGGATCTGATTTAAAGCCCATTAGATGGGGATCTTCTCACTGATTTCGGTAGCCTTTCTAGTAGGTCTGTAGCATCTATCACCCTTAGCTGGATTTTCATGGGAAAATTACTTCTTGGTGGCACAACTGTAGTGAGGCGCTGGAGGTGTATTAGTCTGTTTAAGGGTCTGCAGGGAAAATCATCTAATGAATTCTTTTATTTCTTTCTTCAGCTGTTAATGTAGATCAGAACTCCTATGGTATGCAAATGCCTGGATACCCTAAAGCCCTCAGTTATCCCAAACCCAGTCTTCTGACTGATATCTGTCAGACTTCCACAGGACCAAATCTCCTCAATCCAGAACCAGAGTTTTCATTGTTCCCTAAAACCCAAGCAGATGCTGTTGGTGTGAACTACTGTGCAGTAAATCAAGATTTCCCAAGAAGCAATCTGAACTTGCTGATAGATAATTCTGGTGAGTCATCATCTGCATAATAACCATGGGTCCAAGGCCATATTTTGTATGTCTTTTCCTCCATTGCATAATTTATATATACAAGCTAGACTGAGGGGGAGGAAAATAAACAACACTTTTCTCTTTTTTTATTTTTTTGTTTTATAAAGGTAAGCTTAGAGAACACGAATCTAGTGACAGTGGTGCAGAAAGTTACGAAAGCTCAGATTCGATGCTACAGTCCTGGAACAGCCAGTCATCATTAGTGGATTTACAGCGTGTGCCATCCTATGAGAGTTTTGAAGATGACTGCAGCCAGTCCTTGTGTCTGAGCAAACCTACAATGTCTTTCAAAGACTATATTCAAGAACGAAGCGATCCTGTAGAGCAAGGGAAACCAGTTATACCAGCAGCAATTCTAGCTGGCTTTACTGGTAAGTAGTGAAGCAAAATGGTCACTCCTCTTCTTATGCAACATCAATATTCTCTATAAACGTGTAGGATGGTGATAAAATTGTATACTTGTAAAGTATGCCTTACAAGTTAGTCAGAGACCACTACTTGTGCAGAGTTTCAGTTTTAAATGTTACTAAAGAAAGCCTTATAGGATTGTCCCTCTAAAGCAAGAACAGCAGATATGTCAGAACACGTAAAAATCAAGTGCACTTTTTGATCTGTTTGAAAAAGAGGGAAACTTGGACAAAATCCCTCACACTCAGGAGTTTCTGCTGATGTTGGCTTGCCGGTTAAGACCTTGTTCTTGTACTCCTTGCTGAAATTGGTTTTTCCTCTAGAACAATGGCCAAGCCAGGGACTGCAGGACAAGCCCTGGAACTTGAAATGCAGCTGATGGGAGGTGGGAGTGAGGGCTGAGGGATCCATATCAAAAGGGGAAGGACATAGATTTTGTCAAATCCTGTGCTTCCATGAAAAAGCTGACTTGTTTTAATTTTAATGTGTTCAGGAGCAGATTTGTGTTATAGAGAAAAACCTTAGGTTATTTGATATTAAAAAAAAAAAAAGGTAAATCGGGGTAATTGCAAGATCTATCCTGTGATATGAGTATGGTCACATACACTGGTTGTGGTAAGAGCTTGCAGAAGTACTAATTGTGGTTTTTCCCCGCCCTGTCTCTCTCCACAGGCAGTGGACCTATACAGCTATGGCAATTCCTTCTGGAGTTACTGACTGACAAGTCCTGTCAGTCATTCATTAGTTGGACAGGAGATGGATGGGAATTTAAACTTGCTGACCCAGATGAGGTATGTGGCTAATTGTGATGATCAAAAAGATTCAGGGTCTGATCTGCCATCTGTGGGCCTAGTCTTGAATATAAAGCATTTACATGATCAGACACTTGCTGAAATCTCTTCATCTGCAAATTCTTTATTGTATAGTCAGGATTGCTGTGGGATGTTCCCCCCTCTCCTCCCACCCAGGGATATCAGCATCTGCTTGTAGTTAGGGGAACACATTGTATAGCTTGAAACTTAAAGGTAGCATACAGATTTAGTTCTTTTGACAGCTAATACTGTAGATTAGCTTGCTGGATGTAGTTGAATCAACAATGCCTGGGATTGCACGCAGGCATGGGGAAAATACACTCTGCATATCACCATTCTTCTAGATACACAGCAAATACGGTAGTGCTGGGTTTTAAAACATTTTGGGAACTTACAGCTTTAGTCATTAAAAATAACTAGAATGCATTTTCATTCATTTTCTGATACTGTTATCAGTAGGAAAATTATTGCATTAAGAGATGTCATAGAAAGTCCACTGAAGCCTTTATTAAAAAAAAACGGCGGGAATCATTAACTCCAAGGAACTTCATATAATTCAACTTCGATTTAAAGAGCAGTCCCATGCTGCTCAGTAGAAAATTAATGCTTAAATGGTGTTTTCTTGAGAGAGGAGACTGTATTTCAAATAAACTTGATCTCCATAAACACACTTTGGCCCATCCATTACAAATAGGTATTCTTTTCACTGATACTTGCTATCCCTTTCTCCTGAAGCTGCTGCCAATAATTGTCTCAGAGCATGTTCAGCTGAGGGGTCAGTCACCAACTCCTCTCTTATCTGAGTTTGGGACATCCAGAGCAAATAAACACAGCTATTGAAACCTTTTCTCAGTCAGAGCATTTTATCAGCCACCGAGTAGAAGAACATGACTTGAATAAACATTTTGCATTTTGCTTTCTTTTTGGACTGACAGGTGGCACGGAGGTGGGGAAGGAGGAAAAACAAGCCAAAAATGAACTATGAGAAGCTCAGCCGAGGCCTACGCTACTATTATGACAAGAACATCATCCACAAGACTTCAGGGAAACGCTACGTGTATCGCTTCGTGTGCGACCTGCAGAACCTGCTGGGGTACACGGCGGAGGAGCTGCATGCGATGCTGGGGGTGCAGCCTGACACGGAGGACTGAGCCTGACGCCACCGTGCTGCAGGGGTGAAGAACACGTGTTGGGACTGTGTCTGGGAACCATCTGCAGTCAGTTCTTCTGGCTGTTTGGATGGGTGCAACTGTTGGGAAATAAGGACCTTAAGTGATTTTGTAACCAGGGAGAGCTGGAAGGAAGTGGCCTTATTTCATCAGTGGCTTCGGGTGTTGCCATGTCAGGCACTTGAGCGGCGTGGAAGTCAGCAGACCCCAGCTCTGTCACGAAGACATGGAAATGCTCTCAGGTTAAGCATTTCGACTACTTGTACTGCCACGTAAAGAGTTTTGGCTACTTACACTGCCATTTAATAATGGGTTGGCTTTAAAACCAAAGGTTGGATGAGAAACGAGTGATGCAGCAGAACTATTGCTCAGATATTTTAAAATACCATCGTCCTTGCTTACATCTTGCATCATGCAATTTATTTAAAACAAACAAACAAAAAAAACCCACAACCAAAAAAAACCCACAACCAAAAAAACCCCAACCCCAAACTAATTTATTTTAAATGAGCAGTAAGGAGAATTGATATTAGTTTTGTTCTAAAGCACATTTTATTATTATTATTACTACTCCAGAAATGTGCTGCATAGGTACATAAACACTCTGTGTCCAAAACCAGATGTAGCAGCTGTTAACAAAAAATAAAAGACCCTTTAAAGAAGGGAAGGAAAATCATACCATTTCAATATTCAGATTGTATATATTCTGTGATTCTTTTTGAAACTCTGTAATGTTGCTATTTAACAGATACTGTATAGTGTAAATTAAACTAATTGTATGTATGTGTTTGAAATAGGATGAATGTAAACTTATCAAATGGTTTTTTTTTCATGTTTGTCTAGGATATACAACCTTCTGCAAATATTTAATTGGCCTGAGAGACAACATAAGTGCTCAGTATGCATGCATATGGTATGCCTATGATATGAAGGGGGGGTGGGGAGGGAAGGCTGGCTCAGTATTTGGCCAAGACTGAAGCTGGCAATTCTTTGTGCATTTTGGCATTTTTACAAGATACTAATGTTATATTCTGGGACATAAAAGGCCTGTTTGTGGTTTCTTCTGTAACTGAAAATGAAAATATTAATATGGATAAAATTACCTTTTTTTTCCTTTATAAATGGCATATGTTTTTCAACTTTTATGCATGTCCTTTTAAAAAAAATTTATATACAAGCCTTATTTTTTCAGTTGACTTGTGTCTTCTTCCTGCAGTTTATCCTGTATGATTAAAATATGAATTCTATTTTTGGAAATAACTGTGACTCCTTTTCAAAGATCAGGAGGGATTTATGTAGCAGCTATTTTTACTGCAAAAAAAAAAAAAAAGGAAAAAAAAGAAAAAATCACTGGGAAAATGTACTTTGTAAGAAAGCTTTATTTTTTATCTGAGCTTGATGTACATTTAAATGTGTTGTACAGTGTGAGAGGTTTAAAAATATGAGTTTATTAAAACCTCTTGAACAAGAAAATAGTGTGTGTGCTTTTTAATTTGGAAAGTTTCAGGAGAGCTCCTTTATTTGTTGGTTCAACTCTTGTCCCTCCTACCACCACCACCCTGAAACCTCTGCAGGATAAAAAAACCCAACAAACCAGCCAGACTTAGGGGGGTAGGGAGCTTGTTGGAGAAAATTCTGCAAGAGTGCATAGGCTGATGGTCTTAGACCAAGCTAAATGTATGCTGCAGGCCTAGATGCAACTCAGCGGGTGCTGGCCCACAGACTGGTCTCATGCTAATGATAACGAGGGTGTAGAGAGCTACGATCCCCCGAGCTAAGCCAGAACTTGGCACAAAGAGGAAAAAACAACCCCTCAAACCAACAAGTTTTCCTGGGCTTTGGTTAACACCCTTAAAAAGGTAGTGCTACATCTCACCTGCCTTTGAGCTGTGATCCTAACGAGGGGAGATGATACCTTATTTTGCAAGAAATAATGCTATGGTCTGTCGCAACGAATGTGGTTGGTTGGTTGGTTTTGGTTTTTCTTTTCCCCTGGGTGTCCTTCTCATGCCGTGGCTGCAGAGCCCTAATCATCCTGTTGATCTGTAGAAGTTTTATTTTCAATTTATTTTCCCTGAACACAGAACTGTTTCTTCATTTAGACTGAAAGCTTAGTTGCCTCTTGTGTGCGTGATCAGTGTTAGCTTCAGCCTAGAGACTGTAGGGAAGTTGCTTATATTCCTCCCACAGCAGAAAAAGAAATTTCATGGTAGCAGAAGCAACAAAGTACACTGATAGATGCAACGCAGGCGAGTGTGTCTTCCAGAAACAACACCTGCTATCCTGCACTGGATTGGGTCAACACAGCGGTCCAAGCTCTAACCCAATGTGACCCAGAAGACAATTATTAAAGGATATTTTGTCACAGCGCACACAGAAAACACCACTCTGTTTTCTCAGCCACCCAGCGTCAAAGAGGCGTTTGAAAGTAGTCTGGCTGAATTCTTCACCTTCTTTAGGATATGCCTCCCAGCTGCCAGCTTTCCTCGTGAGACAGCAATCAAAATAAAGTCTTGCAGTTGGCACCTACCCATGGTTGGCATGTCACCTCTAATAACAAAGTTCAACTTCAAAGCCTTTTTTGCTCTTTTTTTTTTTTTTTTTAATTAAAAAAAAAAGGTAGAATCCCATCCTAAGTAAAACTGCACCTCTGGGTTGGGAAATCTGTAAGCCACAAACGCTCGATGTCCAGGAGGCTATTTTGGGAAACATCTGTCTACTGCACCCCGTTCTTATACTCGCTTTAGGTTTCAGCTGTCGGCTGCCATCAGGTAGAGGGTAGGAGCATGAGAGATGGGGCAAATGATGGATCACTTATCCCAGTACTATATCTCTACTCATGGGAGGAGGATCAAGTAAACCTGGCCACTCTGCTGGTCCATTCCCACTGTGATTCCCCAGTACCCCCCACAATGTTCGGCCTGTTGGAGGGGATACCCTGCCCATTTCTTTTACTACTGACTTAAGGACTTCTTGCCTTGCCCAACCTGTAAGGAAGCCCCCCTGGCTACTCTCTACTGACTTGTCCTCAAGCATTGGACACCAGCACCTCACCCAGGGGCTGAGGTAAGGGTACATCAAGGTTTTGCTCAGCAGCAAAACAAAGCTCTATTCTCAGTACCCTTCCTCATGGTACCTTACGCTTTTTTGGCTTTTTTGGCAGTCACTGCACATTGAGCTGATGATTTGAGAGAGCTGTCAGTGATGACTCCGAGATCCATTTCTTGGTAACTACCATTTCTGAGTTTAGCATCACATGCACCCAGTTTGGGTTGTGTTTCCTTGGGTGTATTACCTTACATTAATCTACACTGATGCTCATCTGCCACCTTTTTGTCCATTCACACCGTGTTGTGAGGTCCTCCTGGAGCTCCTCACTAACGCTGTGGCATTTGACTACTCAAACTACTTAGTATCATCTGCAAACCTGGAGGTTTCACTGGCTGCTCATTAGCCCGGGATTTCTGGCCCTGGTCAGAGCCAAGGTGGCTGTTCTTACACTAAGGACCAAGAGGGCTGCTCCAGGATTCAGCCCTTTTGTTTTCAGTTCCCAGCTCTTCCACAAGTTTCTGGGTGACCCCAGGTAAAAAACTTCAAGACTGAGCATCTCTGCCAGGGCTGCTGCTATTCTAGTATAAAAGTCATTCACTCACCCTTGTGTGTGTGACTAGCAGCACCAAGGTGGTATTCTGCCAAATCTTTTTTGGGCTTTCCCTCTCCACGAGTAGGATGTGGGCCAGCACTCTTGTGATGCAGGACCACATCTGGCAATGAACAAGATCAGCAGCAGCTTGTACAATATGAAAACACAGCATCTGGCCCTCCGGAAGGTTCAGTAAAGCGATCTGAAACTATGGTACTCTTTAAATGTCAACCAGACACTGGAACTTCTCGTATTTTTGCTAAAAAAGCCTCCTGGAGTTGAAAAGGAAGCAAGAACTTAAAAGCAATTTGCATGTTCACAGCACTAGTGGAAAGCCTTTTTGATCCCCTCTCCAAGGATGGTCCAAATTCTGACAGAGTAAAGAATTGCCAGATCTCGGCCATCGCAGTTTATCTTGTGTCTCATGTATCTCTTTATCTTTGTGTGAAGCTGAGCACTAGTTGAACTGTGTGTGTTCACACAACCATGTGACTGCACCAGTGCTTCATGTGCTAGACACATGAATGCTCAAAATGCTAAAGAGGGAATAAAAGACATCCCTATAAGCAAGAAGAACAGAAAATTCAGCCGAGGGTGCACGATCTTTGAGAAAGATATCTAGTATCTCATTTGCAATGTGTGCCATGTGATGTGTAGTCTGGAACCACACAATATGGCAAGTTATTAAAAATAAATAAAATAAGTTGGCCAGTGACAGCATAATTTGCTCTATGCAAGTTGAGATTTTCAAGTGATAAGTCTCATTTATGAATAGAAGAGTTTTAAGACAAATCTGTAGTTTGGGGAAGAAGCATTGGATCCCGCCATTTTACTTCCTTCTGCCTCTACCTCTCTTGGCATTTACAATGTAAATGATGAGCTTAACAAAATATAATGAGTAACAAGTATAATGAAATCTCTGCACATGCAAAAGGGTACATTCTTTGGAAGATATTTTTCCCGGATACTCTCTAGATAGCTAGCAAAATGGCCCTAACTTTCATATAAAAGGTTTGTCGTGATTTTCTGCATCATGACCTGAAATGGTCAAAATGCAAAAGTCCTGGCACAATTTCTCTGAAGTCTGCATATGCAAAAACTATTTGTTCATTATTTTCTTTCACTGTGAGCAGAACCACAAAAGAAAACAGATTTGTCTATGCATTACTTATCTTCAGTGCTTGGGCTGCAGAGTGAAATCCAGAACCCAGAGGGAGGTGGGCAAGCTGAGCTGAAAGCTCACGGTTTGGAAATGGAGGGAACCGTCACACCGAGTGGTGAATCCCTCCCAGGCCACCACTGCTGTGTATTGGGGCTGGCTAACCTGGCTCTCCTAGCCCCATCCCAGGTATATACACAAGGGGTCAAAGGCAACACACACAGGGGCTAAAACCTGCAATCCCCCTGGAAGCTGGTGTCCGCACGCTTCCTTCCCAGAAAACCAGGGCTGGGCTTCCCCTCCTGAAGGATGGCCAAGGCGGATGGTGGTGGAGCAACAGCTCCTGCCCCCCTTCATGTACAACTCGCTCGCCTGTACAGCGAGGTCTGGGGTGGGATTGCTCTGCCACAGGAGGGTTTCCAGCAACCTTCTCCCACCTTGGCCCTCTGAGTGAAGTGCAGAAAAGGAGGGAAGTGCTTTCCATGAGATGGTTGCAGGTTAAAACTCAGTCTCAGCTGCAGAGACGAGAATTCCCCCTCTCCTTCAGCTGGATGCCTGATTATTAGGCTAAAGAGACCTGCTCCTACTTGCGCTGCCTCTCTTTGGCCTGATGAATCTTGAATCAATCTTGGGGTTTTTTTTTTT